CACATCAGCATGTTTGCAATAAAGGCACTAAGGAGTTTTTCTCCTGCGACGAAAAATGTTTATTTGCGGAGTAAACGGACGTTTAGCGTGATGTCGAGGTGAGGCTCATTTGTGTTGTCTTATTGTTTTAATTACCTTTCATGTTTTACCATAGTTATGTTTCATCATAGTTCATAGAAATAGTTCATTTTAGTTGCTCGCGTTTTAGTTAGTTATTTATTTCTCTGATGCATGAATGAATAATTCACAAAGGAAAAATAATAAATTTTTACTTATGAATAACACTTTATTGATTAATTCATAAGAAAACTGATAGGCTAGGTGTTGTTACTAATACATCGGAGGCTTGAGTAACAGAGTAAACCCGTTTTCTCAAATAGCAAAATAAAAACTCCATGATAGTGTTTTAATGACTTTGAAAAAAACAATATGAAGAGAGACTGATAACGGCAGTCATAGAGAGAAACGATGTCAAATTTACCGTCACTCCCATAGACGCCGTATTAGAAATACCCTCGCATTAGTAAAACAAAAAGAAAAAAAGATAATAATAAATAAATAAATAAATCAGCGATAAACATATGGAAAGAGGTCTGGAATTTACCCAGTAAATACTGTCTCACTAAGAAGTTACATAAAAAAAACACCCTCACATTAGCATTAACTATTTTTTTGTAATTTGATGCAAAGGTAATATAATGCAAAGTACAGTGTTATAAATGTACATACATTAAAAAATTAAAATACAAAAAAACTTCGGAGGATTTACGATGCTGATGACCGTTGAAACGCGTCATCACAGTCTTGTGAAAAGGTTCTGTTTACTTCAACTTGACATCAACGGCGTTAGAGAAAAGGACTCTTATTTTGATGTGTTGTCTTTAAATCTTTAGACGTAAGAGTCTTTTCTTTTTTTACTTAAGTTGGCTTGTCAACCGCCATTAAATCGTACAACAAGAGGAAGAAGAAGAAGATTTGATTTACCTGTCAGCGTTTGAGTTGATCACGTCATTTGTGTTTTCTTATTGTTTTCATTACCTTTCATGTTTTACCATAGTTATGTTTCATCATAGTTCATAGAAATAGTTCATTTTAGTTGCTCGCGTTTTAGTTAGTTATTTATTTCTCTGATGCATGAATTAATAATTCACAAAGGAAAAATAATAAATTTTTACTTATGAATAACACTTTATTGATTAATTAATAAGAAAACTGATAGGCTAGGTGTTGTTACTAATACATCGGGCAAAAAAATATGGCACTGACTGGATTATTAATGGGAGCAAGGTATGAACAGTGGCTTCTGTGATGCAGAGAATTTTTCAATCAATCAATCAATCAATCAATCAATCAATCAATCAATCAATCAATTCAAATCTCCCATTTTTTTTTATTTTTATTTTTTTTTTAACAAATTTTTAGAGAAACTTTTAATCACCCAAGTACCTTCTTAAATGCAAACACTAAATTAGAGATATTTCAGAGGTCTTAGGACACACCACAGCACAGAGACAGCCCTTCTAAAAGTAGTGAACGATATCACAACAAATCATGATAGAAACAACCTTCACTTCTGGTTCTACTTGATTTAAGTGCTGCCTTTGATATACAAGATTCTTTAAATGAACATGTTGGCATCAATGGAATTGTTTTTTTTATCACTTTATCTCATATCTTTGTGAAAGGGTTTTTTTGTTTTGTTTTGTATTTTTTGTATCTATAAATGTCAACTCAGACACACTATGAAGTGTCATGTGGGGTACCTCAAGGATCGATTTTAAGAACATTCCATTTTAATTTGTATATGCTACTGATTGACTCACTTGCTAACTGTATTTTAGTTAGCAAGTGAGTCAATCAGCATACATTTCAGAGTGAAACAAAATATATTAGGAATGAATGAATCAATCAATCAATCAATCAATCAATCAATCAAACTATTCATATAGCACCTTGCAAACAAATCCATTGCAAGCATAAACAAGCGACTGACACAAAATACAAGAAATGAAAAAAAAAAGTTTATAATAAAAATGTTACAAATGTTGATAAAGCTAAATAGAATAGAAATAAGTGATTATGGTAATAAATATAAAAGCCAGACTAAATAAGTGTATATAATTAAAATATACAAAATTAAAATCTGCTTAATGCCACTGTAACAACAAATAAAGTGAGAGATGCAGAAGATAAAGATATTTTTAATGCAAATTAAAATTATTTTTAATTTACATTTAAAAATATAAATATCTTCTGCACCTCTGTCTTCATTTGTTGTTACAGTGGCATTTAGTGTAATGGCTGAATGGGACATCATGCAATATTTTAACTCTGCTGTGTGGAACAGCTAAAAGAGAGGAATCCGAGGGGCCTTCTTGCTTTATAGACCTAATGTGTGGTCTTGTTTTGGTTTTAGTTAGCACTCATGCAGCAGAATTTTGAGTTAATTGTTGATGATTTATTGTATTCTTTGGTAGACCAGAAAGGAGAGCATTACAGTAGCAGTCAAACCAGTTATTTATAAAAGCTTGCATCAGTCTCTGTGCTGCTCAGAGAAAGAAATGACCTCATTTTAGCAATATTCTTCAAATGATAAATGTTTGCTCCTTGACATGGGTTAAGTCCTAATATATTTTGTTTCACTCTGAAATGTATGCTGATTGACTCACTTGCTAACTAAAATACAGTTAGCAAGTGAGTCAAACAGTAGCATATACAAATTAAAATTTAATGTTCTTAAAATCGATCCTTGAGGTACCCCACATGACACTTCATAAGTGTGTGTCTGAGTTGACATTTATAGATACAAAAAATACAAAACAAAACAAAAAAACCCTTTCACAAAGATATGAGATAAAGTGATAAAAAAACAATTCCATTGATGCCAACATGTTCATTTAAAGACTCTTGTATATCAAAGGCAGCACTTACATCAAGTAGAACCAGAAGTGAAGGTTGTTTCTATCATGAATTGTTGTGATATCATTCACTACTTTTAGAAGGGCTGTCTCTGTGCTGTGGTGTGTCCTAAGACCTCTGAAATATCTCTAATTTAGTGTTTGCATTTAAGAAGGTACTTGGGTGATTAAAAGTTTCCTAAAAAAATGTTAAAAAAAAAAAAAAAATGGGAGATTTGAAATTGGTCTGTAATTACTGTGTGTTAAAAAGTTCCCATTGATAGAGGTTTTATTAAATCAGTTTTAAAATCAGTGGCAGAATACAGCAAGCTGTAGGGAGTGATGCACTATAGCAAGGATGTCTTCAGAAAACAAAATTAAACAGTTTTAAAAAGGGAGGCATCTACCAAGTTAAAATGTTCCAACTTGACAGACATCACTCTGTACACAACATAATGGAAAAAAATGTAGCAAGCTTTTCCTTGCAGATAATTGATCTAATATCGATTATTTTCTCCTTAAAGGAGCCAGCAAATTTTTTACATTAATAAAACTTCAGTACTGTAGTTAATATTCAGTAGAATATTTGTGCTTTTCTTTTTGGGGAAAACACCATAAATATCATAAATTAGTCCACACGATTCTTGCACTGTTTTCCAGGTCTTCCAAGTCATGCATTTTCCTGTGAGAAACAGAATGAAATATAAAGGGGTCATAAACTGCAATTTTTATTTTATAATACTCCTTGAGGTCCACTTGTAATGTTTATGTTCAGTGTTTACATCAAAACAGTCATAATTTAAAAATAAATAAATAAATAGCTTTGAGGGAATCTTCTGTGAATTAGTTGGTTAGTATTTTTTTCAATTGTTTTGAATTTTCCATCAGGTTTTGTTAAACCACAGTCATCTACAGTACTTCTGTCACTTTCTTCCAGATGTTCATCAGTAATGGCTGGATGAGTGATATGGTGATTGTAGTTGCTGTGACTAACCGTGAAGCAAAGACAGCAGCTCATGGAATCAGTCTGTTCCTGGTTGACAGTGGCACTAAGGGCTTCCAAAAAGGCCGCTTTTTTTTTTATTTTAAAATGTAAACTTACTACTTGTACCATGAACTGTCATTATGTAGTTTTTATTACAGTTTTACACTTTTCCTTTTCTTTTTGCTGCAGTGCTTTTAAGACTTCTATGTAAAAGCCCATTTTACATGTGAGATACAACACTGTTCTCTCGAGACAAATGTAGTTTTGACCTGTTCCGTTCTTTTATAATAGCCTAATTGACTGGTTCACAAAACAATATGCACTGAAATATGCTGCAAAAGCTATTAAGATTTGGCTGAAATGAGCAGGAAACAAACTACACATAAACTTCAGAGGGATCTGCAGAGTTGCAGGTTCTACACACAACCAGCCAGTGCAAAAGGTTTGGTGAAGTTTGACACATTTTACTACGAGTAAAAAATGTGTCAAAGTTCACCAAATAATGAGAATATTTTTAGTTCTTCTGGAGATTAGTATCTGTCCTACTTTCACTTTGTTACCTTGTTGTGACATAGTTGTTGTTGTCTGAACAGGTTTGTTGACATGTAAATGTGAATGGTTATAGTTTTTGATGACAGAAACCCAGCAATTTCAGAACTTGGTTTCAATAAAGCAACAATTTGTATAATATGATTAGTTTCATAGAATTTTCACAGCATTATTTCCTTTTTTATGAAAAGAGAAAAGAAAATTTGATTCTTCATAGTATGACCCCTTTAAAAAAATCCTTTCAGTTGTATTAAGTTTCTCTGCCAGATCCTCACAATTAGTTTCCTCATTTGTTTAGTGTGCTTTTAACCTCACATAAGGTCATGGCCACACACTCACTTTGTAATTATATCCCTCCATCCTGCCTGCAGTTTGAGACAGATGCTCAGAGAAATTGAATAAGCTCCATTACACTGTTCATTTATACATATGGATGAGTAGAATCAGTGAGGACTAAATCAGGTTTGCTCTAATAAAGTCTCATTATCATCAGAACTATAACTGATCGTCTATCTGTCTTTCAGGTGGTGCAGCACAAACTGGCTGAGTTGAAAACAGACATATGTGTAGGTCGAGCTTTTATTGACAGCTGCCTTCAGCTTCACAGTGAGAAGAATCTGGACTCAAGCACAGCGTCCATGGCCAAATACTGGTGAGACTCTTGATGAGTAAACCTGACGAACACTAGTGAAGGGTGATTTCGAAACACTGCTTCATTAAGCTTCGAAAACTAGTTTCGAATCAGTGGATTGGAGCATGTATCAAACTACCCAAGTAAAGTCTGGAATCCACTGCAAGACTTTTAAAATCTGAACAGAATTTAAAACACTAGGCATCATACACTTTCAGACTTTGTAAATAGTTACAGAGAAAAACTGGGCATCCTGACTGAGGATCACACGATACCAGACTTTCAAGTCGTTCAGAACACAACGAAGTCACGCAGAAACATGTGCCTTGTTCATGTGTATGACAAATGAAACAAAATGTGCTCTAAAATGGGCTCAAATATTAGACGTTTGATATCCTCTTATTGGATGGAATCATAGTCTAAAGCTAAAAAAAATCACAGCTTTTCGGCAACAAGCGGCGCTTGTCCAGACAGCAAATTGGGGCAAAATCTGGGAAAATGTCATGTAGTGTATTCTAGCTGTAATGTGATTTTGCAAACAAAGCTCTATCATGTTATACTGTTATGATCCTTGGTTTCAAAATGTTAAAAAAAATTCTGATGGTTTGTCATTAGAGACGTTGATCTGGTGAACCCATGAAAGAGTGATCTCTGGTGAGTTTGAATGAATTTTATTAACTGCACATGCTTGAAAGTTAATTGTTTCGAATTGGAGTAGTTTGCCAAGCATTGGCTAAAGGTACAGTTACATTTACAATTGACCTATCGGTAATACCCCCTTAGTTGCTGTTGCTTACTCGGACAAACAAACGGAGTTGCTAACTGTTTTACTATGACAGCTGTCAGTGTGAAAACCTTGTCCCAAGATGTTTTTGATAAATTTTGGACACAGAATTACCACCATTCAAGTGGGAATTAAATATGCCATGGAGGGATATATAAAAGATTTTAAAATAAATATGGTGGGTAACAAGATTAATTTGGAAGCGAGAGTTTACAGATCACAATGCAAGCGAGAGAAGCCTGATTACGGCCGTCACGATCGCAGATGACAACATCCAGGATTCGACGAAAACGAGACGAACGTGACGAAAATGAGACGAGACGCAACGTAAATGCTGGTCATGTGACGATGACTATAATTAAATGTATAATGCAATATTGTTGACGAATAAAAACGAGACTAAATGTGGTTTACAAAATAAAAACTATGCTAAAATGTCTCTTAATTTTCATTGACCATAAAATGACAGCTTCACACAAAGACTAGACTAAAACTAAAATTAAAACAGGCCGCCAAAAACAACACTATTCATACACTACTTTTACACTAATGAAATAATGAATCATTTTGCTAAGCAAGTGGTTTAATTGATTGGGAGTTTCAAAAACTCTCATCACTACTGAACACTGTATAGTACGGTCAAAAGCTGATGTGTTTTGAAATTTGAAACTAACTGATTGAATCATCCAGATCTCATCTCCCCACCACATGTATTCTTGTTCAGTAAGTCGTTTCACTTAAGTCAAGTCAAGTCAAGTCACCTTTATTAGTAATGTAAGCGAGATTAGCGGCAACCACGCTGGCGTTGCTAGCGGGCTATATGCTAATAGCGGACTCGGGAAGTCAAAAATAGAACTAATGATAACAAGGCGCTCTGATTGTTTTTGTTGTAGAATACGATAGGGGATATATTCACACGTTATAGAAACGAAAATGATGGTGTATAAAATTGATTTTAAGATAAAAAATTAGACGACAAAGAATTCACTTGACGGAGCTCAAACTCAAAACACACGTAGAAATGCGTTATAGTTCAAAAGTAATGTCAGTCGCAGCTTCCATTTCATGCTGACTGATTGTGACATAATGGCAAATAACAGATTTTAAAAAGCGCTATCATTTGGATTAGTTTCGTGTTAAGCTTTGCATGCCTGATGAAGTCTATAGAAAGCACCACTTTTCTTGCATCTTTATGCACACTTAATGTTATACCAGATTTGTGTGTGACAGACTTTTTCCCTCCCTAGGGCCACAGATTTGCAGAATAGAGTTGCTACTCAGTGCCTGCAGCTTCACGGTGGATCGGGCTACATGTGGGAGTGTCCGATAGCCAAGTGAGTAACAGTTACTGAGAAGTGTACCATCAGCACTGATGGGTCAACCTTGCACTTGTAACCAGAATGCAGTGTTTGTTCTGTGACAGTGATTGCATAAAGTGGTTAAAGTGATAGTTTACCCACGAATGAAAATACTGTCATCATGTATCCTCATGTCATTTCTAACCCAAATTAATTTCTTCCATGAAACACAAAAGGAGAAATTTAGAATGCCCATGCTGCGGGAATGTGATTGTTGAAGTTTGAACAATGTAAATTGTGTAAATGCAAGAAAAAATGCTGCCGTTTCAAATGCATTTAAATTGTATGTATTTCATGCATGTATACCATAACTTCCAACAGCACTGCACAAGCTTGCAGTGCCATCTAACAGTGAACACCCAAAAACGTACGCCAAGCAGCAAATGCTAGTAAATATTGGCACTGGCGAGTGTGCTGTATGAAACACTGATACTCACCAACTGGCTGATAGTTGGTGTGTTTCAGATTGAAGTGCGGTACTGTGTTCTTTTACACGTGAGCAACTTGTGATTCAGGGTTTTTAGTGGCTCGGAGCAGCTAATGTGAATTTTAAAATGCTCCAACCGTCTTCCCAAGTTTGTAATCGTTTATGCTGTAAATCTGTTGTCAACAAAAGAGAAGCTCCAAGTTCTCCTAGCAGTTTTCCACCAAAATAAAAGCTGAAAGCTGTTCAACATTTGAAAGCAAAGAAATTGAGACAGCCATTAGTATTGTAATTGTACTGTTGTTCTGTAAAATAAAATTATTATTATTATTAAATAGTATTTTTAATGTAACAGTATAGTAGTACTGCAATATGTATTGATGTTTTTAATAATTTATATAATAATACACATAATAATAATAATAGTTGTAGTTTCATACTTTTTGTCACTTTTCATAACTTTTTGACATACAGGGTACCCCTTTAGCATAATTTTTCGATGTGCAGGGTCCTCCATTACTTTAAATAAAAAACCTTTGGCGTCAATATGCAGACACAGAAGGCTTTGGGAATTTTATCGTCATGAATATATTATATATTGGGTAATAATTTTGCCATTATTGCATATATGTTGGGGTGCGATTTATTTATTTATTTATTTTAAATTTAAACAGTCACAAAAATTTTACTTACATTACATTACACTATTTACACATTTTTTGAGCACGTAACTCAACCCCTACACCTAACCATTTGTCAATATAAAACACAGGATATAACAGGCAGATACAACAACAGGGACAATTTATTATTTAAGTCTTCCAAGGCAAAACAATTGATTGATTTGTGAGAGGAACAGACGCGATCACCGTCTCCATCTGCCGTAAAGCTCAGATCTTGTGTGCAGTCTGTGCACAAATTAAACAATTACATCAGCTTTGGTTGTGAAATGCCATTGGCTCTTGTTTGTCTTGTCACCGATTGTGTCATGCTAATGTTCGAGAGTGTCATTTTGAATGAGATATGATTACGGTATATCAAGTTTTAAATATGGATACAGGTCTAAGATGGATGGATGCACTTTTTTGGGCTTCAAAATCTCAACCCCTATTTACTGCCATTATAAATCTTGGAAGAGCCAGGACATTTTTTTTATATAACTAATAATTGTATTCATCTGAAAGAAGAAAGTCATATACACCTAGGATGGCTTGAGGGTGAGTAAATCATGGGGTAATTTTCATTTTTGGGTAAGCTATCCCTTTCATAGAGCGGGATAATTTTCAGTAATTAAAACCTTATGATTTACTCTGTTCTTCGCATAAAGATATAGTATGGCTTCAGAAGACTTGGAATGCAACCCAACTTGTTTGTAGGCTAATACTTTATTAAGGGTTTTTTTATTTTTTTGGTCAGTTTTTGCAATAAATACCAGTGACTGTACTTTTATTTGCCTGTTATGTGTTTTATATTATTGAGGAGAGGGTAGGTTTAGGGTAGGGGTGGGGTTAGGTGCTCCAAAATATCTATGAAAGTATAAATGTATGTAAAATTATTTATGTTTTTACAAATGCATGCAAAAAATTAAATGCGTCTTGATCTGACGCAAACAACTGAGAGCAATGGAGTACGCTGCACGTCGAAAAGTGGCACTAAAGGGGTACCCTGAGCGTTAAAAAGCAACGCTAAGGTGTCCTGACCAAGCGTCAATGGCCCTGTCCCAAATGGCACCCTAAACCCTCATGGTCTTCCTCTTGAGTCCACACTTTCATGACGTAATGCCGCTTTGACTGTCGGGTAGAATTCAGCTGTGTAGCTCACAGGGTTGCGGGCTCAGCAGAAGTGCGCATCGAGGGCGCATAGCAGCCGGAAAGGGGGCGCTCGCGAGCACCCTTCTGAAAGCTAAAATGACGAATGGGACACCCTACGGTCTTGTGAATTTAAAGGACACGCGCACGCAGCGGCCATTGTAAGTCCTCAAGAACGAAAGTGCACATGAAGTGTGCCATTTGGGACAGGGCCAATATGTGACGAGTTGGGAGTGAAAATTTCCTTGACTGTTATTCTGGTGTCCAGCAGAGGGCGAGTTTCTCTCAGCTCTGCACAGCAACACCACAATATCTCTCACACTCTTTAAATGGAGCTAAAACTGGGTTCATTTGAATTGTTATTTGATTAGTCACTCTTGATAACTGCAGTCTGTTAGTTGGTATATATTTGTATATTTTGTTGGCAGCAGATGTACCCTGTGCAGGTGTAAAATGCCTCTTTCAGAACCTCCTGGAAGTCTTTACAAATCTGCTGGTGTTTTAATGCAATATAAATACAGCTTTAGAGGTTAGCTCATCCCAAAATGAGATAAAAATATAATATATATATATAAAATATAAAATATGTGTTCCACAAAAAAATGAAACCTGTTTTTTTGGACCATTAAGTGTATATAACGTTCATGACAATGAAGCATATTTTCTCCCCAAATTCTTATTTTTTATATGAAAGTTGAATAGATTTATTGTCCTCATTACTAGAATGTAAAAAAGTATATATTATTTAAATTGTGAAATATTCATAGATATTTGAAGTATCTCTTATGTGTTACAGTAATGAGAATGAATATTTTTCATAATGAGAATTTGAGGGGAAATGTGCTTGCCATAAAAATGTCACTATGTAAAAAAATCTTAATGATCCTAAAAATAGGCTTCATTTAATATAATTTTGAGGTGAAATATGACCGTAACATTCTTGAGATTCACCCAGCCAGACTTTCAGTCTTGACTCATAAATAAAATGCATTAGAAACATTTTAATGGTTGTCTTATGTGCTGTCTTTCAGGGCTTTTGCAGACTCCAGAGTTAAACCCATCTTCGGAGGAACCAATGAGATCATGAAAGAACTAATCTCACGCAACATCGTTAGTAAAAAATAAATGCAGGAAAAAAAAGAAAATAAAAAAATGTAGCAGGAGTTTCACTGATTGTTTATCTCAGATGAGTTATTCAACACATACTAAAAGTTCATGTCATGTTAAAGTCTGCTTATATCATATGATGTCTGCAGAGAGAACATCTGTTTCTGTTCTTCTGCGACTACGCTGTATGTATGGATATTTTAAGCAACATTTGTTTTCCAGGTGAACAGTTTGCACCACTAATTTGCAGGGTTTGTTGTAAAGTTCAGATACTTTTGTTGTGTTTTGACTGTTTGATATGTTAATACCAGCTTTGTATGTACTAATAAATCCTTATAAAGATATTTCTAAAGATGGCCCTTATGTTCTTTCATCTAACAGTGTGATTCTCTTTTCTCCTAAGACACCTTTAGGATACTAAAATCAGTTTGTAAATTTTAATCATGCACAGTTATGATTTGTGTAAACAAAGAGAGTCTAAGTGTGTGTGTAAGTTTATGTGCGGTTGAGTCTCTGGCTGGCTGGCATGTTCATAGTGAATCATGGAGCAGAGGTGGGTGGTCTGTGAGAGAGTTGGTGGGTGTTATAAAGAGATTAAAACCAGAGTGTTCAACTCTCTCTCCATCCTGCCCTCTTTCTGTCATGGGTGTAATTATAGAGCAGTTTTCCTTTTATTCAAAGATATTCAAATATAGAGCCGCACTATGAAAGTTCAGAGTAACTATAGATTAGACGGAGGAGAGAAAATCGTCTTTCAAAAGCAAGTTTGACTAACGGTTAGAAGATCAAAGTCATGATTCACAAATGAATCACTCTTTTGAGCTGATATTTCTAATGATTCGAGTGTTTCAAAAAGCGTTCGTGAATCACTCTTTTTTTATGAGGGAGAACAAAATGTAACAAAGTAAAAATACTGGAACAATAACCACACCAAAAACAACATTTAAGACAATTTTTCATCCTACACTCTGCACTGGGTTGTATTTAACCCAGCATTTTTTAGAGTGTAGTTAGTGAAAGTGAGACAATTTTATGGGAACAATTTTTTATGACAACAATAATTTATTTCACCAACGTACTTTACTACACCCAGTGTTGGGCTCGTTACACCAAAAATTTAAGTTATTACTCGTTACTAGTTACTCTTTTCAAAAGTAGTATCACTCTAAAAAATGCTGGGTTGTTTCAACCCAACTTTGGGTCAAATATGGACTAACCCAGCTGTTGGG